CTCCCCCGGGAAATAGCCAGATGGCATTGGCTGGTAGATTGCACCCGGATGAGGCCAACCCTGTGAGATCTAATGGGTCTGTGGGAGGTAATTGGCAGCAGGCGGTCTCTCAAGTAAATGGACTGTTACGGGGCTTCCCTGCATTGCTTAAGGCAACATGGCATCTTGTCCTCTGTTCAGTTTTGGAAATCATCCCAGCTTTCCATTCAATTTTTAAAATTGCATTAGAATTAAGATTCTAAAGAGAGGATCTTGATACATGCCAAGACTGGGGCTTACATTTTTTTCCATGGACACTGTGTTGGTTTCAAAGGGCTGGCATTAAAGCGGGCAACCTATCTCCATCTGAAATGAATACTCTCTGTTTCAGAAATTCAGATTTTACATATTGTCTTTCGTCTACTCACCGGTTTGAACTAAGTATTTGATGCTAACTTCATCAACTGGGAAGAAGGCTGCCGTTGCTCCATATTCTGGACACATGTTGGCAATGGTGGCACGATCAGCAATGGATAACTGAGCAACTCCAGGTCCAAAGAACTCAACAAATTTGCCCACAACCCCTACTTGGCGTAAATGCTGCAACACATTTAAGTTTGCATTCAGTTACATTTTCACAGTATATTCTATACTACATTTAACTAAATCCAGTAATAACTCAGCTTTGGGGTTTTTTTATATATAAATGAGAATCTGAGGCTCCATTTAAGCAAAGTTTGCTGCCAAATCTAAACCTATAATGCAATACTAACATACAAATCTATTAAACATATAAAATAGATTCCATTGATTTCTATAATTCTTCTAGATAAGTACAATTGCGTTGCAGATTTAAAATATGACACAAAACGTTCTGTTGGAAGTTTTGAGTAAAAATCCCTCTGAATTACCAACTTACATTTATGGTATCCCCCCATAACCCCAAACCCCATTATCTCTAGTTTGCGTCAGTTGCCTCAATCAACTTAATGTTGGCTGAGTTCTATTTTTTATGCCTCTTGGAACCCCTTTAAAGTTTGTTGTAAACTTATAATACATTTTCCTGCAATTTTGAATTAGGAAACCAATAAAAGTATAATGTTGTCATCAAATTAAGTATATCATGATTAAAAATCCCACACAAGTCTAATAGGCACAGTATCTCTGTGTTACAAGAGCCCCTTATCGCTTAAAGGTGATATTATGGAACTATTCTATTAATTCAATACTTCTGACACACATCAATGCTTAGAATAGTGATCGCAAAGTGACATTGTGGATTGTATTGCATTGGAATAAATACTCCCAGAAATAAAGTTCAAACATTACCGATGTCACTTGATATAATTAAATGCCTACCCTGTATCTATTAGCATGCAGATTTTTGAGATTAATTAAGCAATAGCCTATATCAAGAGCAGCTGTGGTCGATCAAGCAAGTTGTTACCTTGGTAACAGTGAGCACGATATCTGTGGATGTGACCAATGACTGAGGAATACCGCTTAATTTGTAGCCAATCACTTCAGGAAGAACCATACTGATTGGTTGGCCCAGCATCACTGCTTCAGCTTCAATACCACCCACACCTGATCAGTGGGAAAGAGGGGGGGGGGAGAGAAAGAAAAAGAGAGGGGGGAGGAGAGAGATTAAATAGAATTGCTAATTTATTTTGCAGCAACATCCATTAAGCAAAACAACAGTGGATCAACAACATTACTGACAGGGAGATAAAAACAGTAGTTATTCATCTAAAATGAAACTTTTCCATATACTTGATACTTTACATATTTCAGGAATGCAAATCCGGTAGAGTAAAAGACATCAAAAGTGTATTGCTAGATCAAAACAATGGCCTATTTAGGTTATGTTTTTGTTCTCATAACATCCAAACAGATGCTAACAGGAAGACCCAACAAGAACAGCTGTGAATTAGCATGTTCCCTGCCCAATTTCCCCAAGGAACTCAAACTGGACTGAGAAGTTGCAAGGCAATCAGTTTCAAAGCAGGGTTTATCTATCTGCAGATGAAATTAAGCTGAGTGTCTCACCCCTTGTTTAAGAAACAGGTACATGTAAACATATGATATAGTTTTGCTATAAAAGCTCTGCTTTAATGATCAAACATATAAACTCTTTTAACATGTGAATCTATTCTCTTGCATTCTGCAAATCACCATGCATGCAAAAATCATTTCCCCCCTTTCCATGGGTATTTAAAACACAACCTAAAAACAATAGAACAAGGCATTTAAATATACAGGATTCAAGGACCTTAAGAACATATTTAAGGGTAGTCTGAAAGTGTGTGAAATCTGCTAGGGTTGTCACCTTTGATCTTGAATTGATATAAGGTAGTTGTAGTGATTTTAGAAGAATAAGAGAGACATGGCTCAGTAACTGGGGCAGCAAATTTCATGCCATTATCATTTCAGTCAACTCCAGAATGATTAGAGAACACTTATATCAAGCAGTGAGGAAAGGCTTGCACTTGTATTAACTAAATTAAAAAAAACCTCTTTAAATGTTTCTTACTTTGCCCTGTTTGCATTTTTATGTTAGCTGATTAAGCAAATGTGTGTAGGTGTAGGTGTAAAACCAAACAAACCACATCTGAAATTGGAAGAGAAACCTGTGGTTTCCTGATAGGTGCTGAGTCAAAGCATTTTTCTAGAAAGATTAAGTGCATTACTCGTTTGAGCTTATTTTAAAGAGGATTATTAGGCTTAAATTTGGTGGTTTTTTCATGGTATTTAAAGGGGTCTTTCAGAGATTTAGGAACAGGGCTCTAATTAATATATATGTGATTATTATTACTATTATTAGTAGTAGTATATATGTGATTATAATTACTATTACTATTACTATTTATACTATTTCCAGAATGGTTAGACATTCAGAAAAGTAAGAAATCAACAATATTTTATTTTAAGATCTCACTCTGTGATTTTTGATTTCTTTTAACCCATGCCGATCATAACTTCTCTTTTCTTTATCAACCTTCCTTGTCTCTTCACAGAACAGTGCAGATGTATATCAAGGCTCTTTCGACATCTGTTAAGAATCTCAACTTTACCACCTTCAACATGCAATCCTGCCTTTAATTAATTGATGTAATCGAGAACCAGGAAGATTTTGCCCTCAAAATAAAGTGGAGTAAGAATGCAAGCTAGGTATATAAACCTTAGAATTCTCCCATATACCGTATATTCCTGGCATGTGGAAACATTTCTTCTGGGCACTGAGAATGATTGATATTATCCAAGGTAAACTTCTCTTCCCACGGAAGAGGTAAAAATAACCTTCATCTGACTCAGTGATTTATGGAGAACACTTTGAAATTAGAGAAGTGTGGTTCTATCTTGTGAGCCTTTTGTCATACTTCAGACCCTGGGACAATCTCTGATTTGTTTTCTTCTACCATTCAAGAGTAGGGCTATTTCAGTAGTGGTATTAATTTGTCATAGGATAACTAACTGGTATCTCCCACACCACCCCTAACTTTCCAAGGAAATATAGACTTGGTGATGCTTAGACCTGCATTTCCTTGAATCAGGTATGACCAATGGTGTGAAAAACATTTAGGTGGCCAGAGGCCATGCCTAATTATGATCAAATAGGGATTCCACTTATGAATTTGATTCCTTCCCTCTTTTTGTACTGGGGTTAGTAACTGCTTGCTTCTTCTCCTATTTAAATTCCCAGCATAAGGTCCTCTACTGCCACTGTATGTGAACAGGTTCTATGACATGAAGCCCTGGCCTGAATTAGACTATTATTTAATTCATTGACCAAGTATGGGTAGTCCTTGACTTATAACAGTTCAGTTAGTGACCGTTCAAAGTTACAGTGCCACTGGAAAAAGTAACATATGACTATTTTTCACACTTATAACTGTTGAAGCTTCCCCCTGGTCACACGATCAAAATTCAGATGCTTGTCAATTGACTCATATTTATGATGGTTGCAATGTCCCAGGGGGTGGGGTGGGTGGGTCATGTGATCACCTTTTGCGGTTTTCTGACAAATCAAAGTCAAAGCCAGATTCACTTTAAAAAGTGTGTTACTAACTTAAGAATGTCTGTGCTTTATTTAATAACTGTGGCAAGAAAGGTCGTAAAATGGGGCAAAACTCACTTAGCAAATGTCTCATTGAACAACAGAAATTTTGGGCTCAATTGTGGTTGGAAGTTGAGGACAAACTGTTTAGGGAATATATTATTTTGCACACATTTTGGACTTTGGTTAGAGATGTTGGAAGCTGTACTTCAGCAAGATCAGGACTCCCAAGTTCCATTGCATGGTCTATGCATTTTTTTTCCTCAGAACATATTGGTCTGGTGCAGGGGCCGGCAACCTTAAACACTCAAAAATCCATTTGGACCTGTTTCCCATGGAAAAGAAAACACTGGGAGCCACAAAACCCTTCCCGTGCCTGACTATTTCCTCAGCGACCACAGAACTAGTATATGTAGTTGAATTAAACGTTCTGTTTTCTTCTGAAACTTTACTTTTCTTGGATTTATACATGGTTGGCCTACTGGGGGTCGAAAAGCTCAATAAATCATGTGCCGGCAGGTATCACCCATTGGCGGTTGTAACACATATTTTGAGTGACAGGGAGCCACAGCAGAGGGATGAAAGAGCCACATGTGGCTCCAGAGCCGCAGGTTGCTAACACCTGGTCTAGTGGTTAAGGCATCTTGCTAGAAACCAAAAGATGGTGAATTCTAGTCACACCTTAGGGATGAAAATCAGCTGAGTGACCCTAGGCCAGTGTCTCTCACAGGGTTGTTGTTATGGGGAAAACAGAAGGAGAAAAGAATGTAAGGTATTCTCTCACTACCCTTGAGTTATTTATAAAAAATAATAAAAGGTGGGATAAAAACATAAACATACAAAGCTATTTGAACATTAATTCAGCAAATGAAAACTCAACCAATATTTTTTTAAGAAAAAAAATCGCAAATTTTGCCCCAGTCTATTATTTATTAGGAAAGGGGAAAAACAGGTAGAAGGAATTCAGATTAACACCCTCTCATTCTTGAATTTTGCTAAACACCACTTATAGTCCCAATGAACAGACAGCCCCATTTTAAAAGCACTTACCCCAGCCAAGCACACCTAAGCCATTAATCATTGTGGTATGCGAATCGGTACCCACCACACTGTCTGGATAATAGAATCCATTCTGATCAAAGACAACTCTTGCCAGATATTCTAAATTCACCTGATGGACAATTCCTGAACCTGGAGGAATAATTCTCATGTTCTGGAAGGCTTGAGAGCCCCACTAAAAAAAAAAAAAAAGGAAAAGAAGGAAATGTCTTAAGAAGTAGCAAAATCAAGTATTTTTCTAGCCTAGTCATCAATTTATAAATATTGGGATATGAAGATTTGGTTTTTAGAATATTCTGCCCACGTGGACCTACTACCAAGTTTTTGAAGTTCCATTCAGACTTTGTGGTTTCACCAATGTAGGGTTTCAGCCTAGACCCCTGTATTATTTTAATCTTAAAATTTGACAAGATGTAAATTATGATACCATAGTCAAGCAAACAGCCCCATTCTGATTGGCTAGCCACTGTGCCAGATGCACGAGTTAGACAGAAATTACAAAATTAACTGTCTGGCTTGGTACGTGTGATACGGATGAACCAAGCTCAAATTTAAAAAGGTTTAAATTTTGGAGAGGATTTATTGGAGAGCATTTATTAAGTGTAATTCTTTCCCTTCTTTTATGGAAAAAAAAACTTTGCCAACTTCTCTTCTTAGCTATTCTTCCAGGACAAAAACAGGCCCATGTCATACATCAGGAACTGTGATTCTGTAGATTCCCTTCTACCTTACTAGACTCTTCCATGCTTAGCTTTGCAGACACACAGAATAAGTATGATCTTACCTTCAAGAACTCAAATCTTTCCTTGTTTCTCTCAAATTCCAAATCTTGATTCTTCTGTAAACTGTCTGGCCTGCAGTGAAAGGTAAGAGGTTAATACTGTAAGAAAACTTCAGTAGGACAGGAGGTAGGATTCAGTCTCTGTGCCTTGAAAAAGAAAGTGGGGAGTGAGTCGGTATTTATTTAGCTCAGCATCATGGAGCTCTTTAATTGCCATGCACTAGAGCACGGTGTCAAATTCGTGGCATCACACTGCCGTCACGTGACGCATCAGGACATTTCCCCCACCTTCGTGGAGCTGGCGTGGAGCTGTGTGTGATGCATCTGGCCCACAGGCCACCAATTTGACACCCCTGCACTAGAGAGTTAGGAGAAAAGAGGACTCAGAAAGCTTTTCTAATGATTCCTACTGTCTCACAGAATGTCTAATTCCGTGTAGGCACTTTGGCAGAGCGTATTCTGAACATAACAGTGAGGGAAAGGTTTCTAAAATATTTATTATACAAGATCAAGCGTTCTAGTAAGCAGAAAAGGATTGGAAAGTACAGCTGACAAAAATACATTCAAGGCTTTGAAAAAGCAACATGTAAAGAGGTACTGGAATGCAGGCCATATGAGTTGAGAACCAGGCTGAATTAGACCAAAAAGACTAGGATCCAAACAGATTTTGTTCTGACTCCGCTGGCCGCAGAGTTGGACAGTGAGGAGGTTGGGGAGGAACATGGGCCAGTACAGGGGGCTGAGGAAAGCTCAGATGAGGGCTCTGTGTGGGAGGCAGAGAGGGGGCTAGACAGCAATGAGGCAGAAGAACAGCTGGAGCCTATTCCCAGTGTGCACACGTGCAGAGCTGCCAGAAGACAAGAACAACTAAGAAAGTAGGGTCGGCTTAGGAGTAAAGCCACCTTGGAGGTGATTGGGCCCTCCCAGAGGAAACAAAAGAGGAAGGAACAGGGAGTGGGCTTTTGCAGGAAACAATTTGTTCATTCAGTCCAGAAAATTCTGTTTGTGATTATAAGAGACTCTGTGCCAAGTTTTGCTTTGCCCTGTGTTTGGAAACTAGTTATCTGGCAGCNTATAATGGGTTTCTATTTTGGGGGGCATTGTTGACAAGAGGAACTGATGTAATTATTATTTAATACTAAATGATATGGGCTATGTATAGTATACATGTGAGTGTGTGTTATGAAAATAAAATAAAATATTTCAAGATTAAAAAAAAATGTTAATGTCCAGTCGACCCAGCCATTCAAGGACAGGGTGGTCTATGTTGAAAAAAATCAGACATTGGGCTGGTGTAAACTTTTGATGAACATTCAGACACAATGTGATGGATATTTTGTCAAGGTGCACCGCAGTCACACTAAGGGGTATAGACAATATCCCACTTAAACAATGAGTCCTGGCAAATACCCTGTTGGGTACAGATCCTGTTCAGAGTTCACCAATGCTGGCGAGGAAGGTCAAAACCTGGTTAGAGATCCATATTATTCTTTTCTTTTCTTTCTTTACAACTGAAGATCTCAGTATTGAGGAAAAAGATTTCCTGCTTTTTTTTCTCATGAGGCTTTCTTTTTTTAAGAAACCTATTTTAAAAGTCCAACAAAATCACATTAAATTAATCCTAAAAACCACAAAATTATATGTTGCACATTAAGAGGTGGTTTGGGGGGATTTAGAAAAAAAAAGAAAGCCCCTTTCAACCAGTAGGTTCCCAATCCATGCCATACATCAGGGGTCTCCAAATTTTTAATAACTTTAAGACTTGTGGACTTCCAGGTTTCTGCAGTTATCTGACTGAGGAATTCTGGGAGTTGAAAACAGACAAGGCTTAAAGTTGACAAGTTTGGAGACCCCTGCTGTAAGTGATCAAATATAGGCAGTTCATTTAATGACCGTTCAAAGTTACAGCGACACTGAAAAAAGTGACTTATGATCGTCTTTCACACTTACAATCATTGCAAAAACCCCATGATCACATGATCAAAATTCAGATGCTTGGCAACTGGTTCATATTTATGACGGTTGCCATGCCTTGGGGTCATGTGATCAGCTTTTGGGACCTTCTGACAAGCAAAGTCAACGGGGAAGCCAGATTCCCTTAACAACCATGTTACTAACTTAACAATTGCAATGATTCACTTAACTGTGGCAGGAAAGGCTGCAAAATGGGGAAAAAACTCACTTAACAAATGTTTCACTTAGCAATGTAAATGTTGGGCTCTATTGTGGTCACAATTCGAGGACTACCTGTACAAACACATCTGTCTAAGCAATTCATATTTTGGAAACCAATGCAATATTTACAGCTTTAACAAAATATCTCTTTGGAGTATTATTGCTACAATAAAGTCAAAATATATTGACAAGTTTCCCTGTTACATTTAAAATAGAGTAATTAAGCTGCAATCCCACAGAAAAAAATAAAGCTAATTTCTAAACAGATATGTCCATTACACTGTTAATAATTTAGAAATTAAGATCTGCACTTTATTCCCATGGAAAAACTGAAATTAATGTGGTGTCATATACACTATATTGCCAAAAGTATTTGCTCACCGAACCACATAATCAGACTCAGCTGTGAGCGAATACATTTGGCAGTATAGTGTAAATTATTATTGTATTAGCATTTAGCATTATTTAAAGTTTCATATTTTTCAGGATATTTATGTTTATTTTCTTTAACAATAAGAAAAGATTACATTATCTTACTAATTTGTATCATAGGTACTACTAAAGTAACTATTACTGCTATATTTTTCTACACTTTCAAATATCTAAAGCACTTCGTATACTGTAGCTAGCTAGATTTCTTGTAGGATACAATCCATAATTTAGACTCTTAGCCTTATGCCAGTTCTTCCATTTATATGATAGTAAAACGAAGCACCCATGCTTCATTTCTTTTAATAAATTACTGTTCTTTTATAAAATAATTACAGCAGGCTTAGAGGAAATCATTTGAAAAGACAATAATCATCACCAGATTTGACAGCACATTTTATATTTATACTGCATTAGTTATATAAGAACACTCTAATTATATAAAGTTTAAATACAACAGATATGTCAGCATACATATCAGTATTTAAAACAGCCTAAGAAAGGGAGGACAATCAGTATTCAGAAGTATATCAATGCTTGAATATTATTTGTAAACAAGAAACCAAGATATACTTTTTATCCAGCTGAAAAAAATAATACTGAGATAACAGAATTGAAAACTAATTTAAAAAGGATGGCTTTTAAAAACAAACTGTAGAATAATTACCTTTTTAAAACCAACTCCCCGTTTTTCTAAAAGCAATTAAGTTTTGCACGTTAAAACAAATGCAATTACTTCTCTGCTTTGAGGCTTTTGCACAAAAGGAGGCAGTTATATTCCATACAGAGTAAACACCTGGGCACCAAAGATAAGGATATCTGGAGTGAAGTTCATGGCTTGCAATACTATAGACACCATTTGTTGCCTTGCCTTTTACGGTACACTAATTGCAATCTGACCTTACAGAAATCAATTGAAAAGCTGTCGTTGGCCTCAAAAGGGATCTGAACTTTAAACGTGCTACAAAGATATATGATCCAGACTGTTCTGCAGTTTTCAGCTGTGGAAGGATGATACCAATAGATAGAATGATGCTTTTGATCATTCATCCTTCTCATTATACTGACCACATTCTAAACAAACAGGCCATTTTCATTAGAGAAAGCCTGCTATCCAAACTGTGGTAAATGGGCACCATTCAGCATCAAGGCTTTCTCAACCCTGAAGCTGGCCTGACTGAGGCCATTTTGAGGCTTCAGGGCTGACACACTGAAAAAGAGGGATAGGGAGGGGGGGAATGGAGATAGTTGGGATGTTGTAGTGAAAACAATATACTTTCTCTTGGGAACCAAGGACACTCCTGCAGGTGCTTGGAAGGAGGGGACTGTAGTCACCTAGCAACTGGACAGTATCCTGATTGGACCATGTGACTGATTGTTTTGAGAAAGTGACAGACTTTTACTTTTAATTAGGTGAAAACCACCGGAAGACTCAGAGTCGATTTTCACCAGCCTGTGCCAATATGACATATTCAATAAACCTATTCTTTGTGGAAATTGCCTGCTCAGTTTTGTTTGCTATGAGTATGTTATTTGGAAACCTGACAGGCTTATATGTAAAATTATGTGGAGCAATACAAGTAATTCTTGACTTACGACCACAATTGAGCCCAAGATTTATGTAGCAAAAGGAGATATTTGTTAAGTGAGTTTTGCTCCATTTTACAACCTTTCTTGCTCCATTTGTTAACTGAATCATCACAGTTATTAAGTTAGTAACATGGTTATTAAGTGAATNCACACACACACACACACACACAACTCACGTAAAGTCTTGCAGAATAACCCGAGCAGGCTTAAATGGCACTTCAATATTTTTGTGCTGCATCACTTTCCAGTTGAGGATATTTTCAACGTCATTCTTCTTCACAAGAAACTCATCACAGTTGCGAACTGCAGCCTCCAGCAAGATTCTGATAGAAAATGGTAAATGTGCTGGGAAAGAAAGGAAAAGGGAGAGGAGGAAAGAATGCAACTGAGAAGCAGACTCAGAAAAAGAAGCTGAGATTTTCAAACATTTGCCTCATCAAATAGGGAGCGTCTCTCTGAGTTAAAACCAAAGGCACAATACAGCACACTCTTCTCTTTTGGGCACACTCCAGATGTTAATTCCCACAATCACCAGCTAGCCACAAATTGATGAAAATTCTGGCAATTGAAATCCACATCTCTCAGGAATATACAGATGGAGAAGATTGAGACAGAAATGAAGCCAGTCTTCTAAAATCTCTGGATCTATAGATCTACAATCTTTTAGATCACAGGTGTCAAACTTGCAAGGTCATGTTGCTGTCACGTGACATTTGATGACGTTTTCCCATTCATGGAGCTGGGGTGGGCGTGACGCATCATCTTGCCCATGGGCCTCCAGTTTGACAGCTGTTTTAGATCAACAACTAATAATTCTGGAATTTGGAGACCCACCCACTGAGAGACTATCAGGTGGAGATATAAAGAATATTTTTTAGATTATTAAAGAATAATTTTCTTTAATATAAAGAAAAAGATGTGACTTTCTGTAATAAACGGGGAAAAAGTGACATCTATACATAGGGAGATTGGTAGCAAATATATCTGTGAAGCCGCAAGGGGTTGGCTTGCCTGATGAAAGCCATTTGGATGGTTAGGAGAAATATTTCTCCATACTTCTTTTCACCCCAAACAGAAAAAAATGTTTCACATCTTTAATTCAATATGTTTTCTTCTGAAGGGCAGTAATGCTTAAAAACCAACCTTTCCATACTTCAACTTTCTGGCTGGAGATGGAAAGTCCTAAAATTGGACACTTTTTTGCTTGTGTTTTCCAATGAGCTATGGGTCTCTAAAGGACAAAGCCAAAGTGATCATTGAGACCCATCAACAAATGATAACACCATGAAAGCAGGTGAATTCAGGCATGGGACAAGCCCTTTTGACCATAGCCGACATACCATATCTGGCGTCTTTCAGATGATTCAGATTGAAGAACTTCTTTGCTGACTGGCCCAAGTCCAGAGGCTCCGTGAGATGGGCAAAGGGGTTGCTCATTGTTGTAAAGTCTTGCTACTATTGAGAAATATAAAACAGATTTATATCACTGGATTTTATTTTAAAGAGTTTTTATTTATTTGCATTCCACCATTATTATTATTATTATTATTTTACAAAGAATCCCATGTGGTGAACATATCCCACATATCTTCCTCCTCCTATATTTTTCCAACAACAATCCTGTGAGTTGGGTTGACCTGAGCGAGTGATTGGAACAATAGCTTTCATTGTTAAAGCAGGACTTGGACTCATGATCTCTGGCTTTCTAGCCTGGTGCCTTAACCACTAGTAGACCAAACTGGTTCTTAAGACGATCAATATATCTAGGATATGCTTGGGGCAAGTATTTTTCCCCCTGGTTAGATTATTTACTTAGCATATGGCAAATACATGGACTTATAGTGGTTCAAATGTTAATGATAGTCAGTGATATATTTTACTACAAGAGAGATTAGAAATATGATATTACAAGAGTCNACCCACCTCGAAAGGATGGAAGGCTGAGTCAACCTTGAGCCGGTGAGATTTGAACCGCCGAACTGCAGCTTAGCAGTCAGCTGACGTGGCTGCAGTACTGCACCCTAACCACTGCGCCACCTCGGCTCTTTTTTGCTACCGGTTCAGGTGAACTGCCCCAAACCCCTGTCACTGAATGTAATGAATCCTTGCTCTTCACTGAAAGAGTTTGGGTCTTTTTTTTTTTTTTTTTGCATGTTGTTTAAGGTACATTTCTTACCTTTTATTAAAGTCAACCTGGATGGAATGATCAATGACTAAATCAGCAGGACACACAGGGTTGATTTTCTCAGGGTTTCCTTCCAGGGCCTTCACAGCATCACGCATAGCAGCAAAATCAACCACTGCAGGGACACCCCTGCAACAGGAAATTAAAAAAAAACACACACACAAGGCAAATTTGTCAAAATCAATAGCCCAGGGGCTGTGAAAACGTGCAAGTAAGATTTTGAAATCGAAACACACACATGCAATACTTTTGTAAGGTCCAAGGTTGGAGCTGCTCTGTGGAGAATGGTAGAAGTTAAAGATTCAACACACCTGAATGGGCTATAAGAGCAAACACTCTGGTTCAATAGAAAATTTTTCCAAGCAAACAAGCTCCAGATTCACGTTTTTCTTTCCTTGTTCCTTCTCCTGTCCTTTTACAACTTCATTTTTTATTTTTATTTATTTATTTTATTTGTCAATAAGTACAAGGAAACAAGTATGATAAATACATGAAAAAATGGCATAAATAAATGGATAATATAAGCAAAACATAGCCATAAACATATAAAACAAGTACATATAAATGGAACTAGGACAAAGATGGTAGGCACGCTGGTTCTTCCGTGCAGATATATTGATACTACGGTACAACTCATCCCCCTAGAGACCTCTTCTTTGTTTGTTTGTTTGTTTATTGGATTTATATGCCGCCCTTCTCCCAAAGGACTCTTAAGAAATGCATAAGGTCCATGGTAGACAGCTTAAGGTAAAAGGTATGGGGGTTAGAGGAATTAACAACGGGATTGGGTAAGGTGTTCCACACATTTACTATTCTATTGCTTGTGCTGTAGCATTAACTATAATTACCTGTGGTTATCTGAACTGGCTAGCACTAGGTCCTGCTAATAGGCAAATGCCAGAGATTGCTGACTCATTCGGTTGTGGAAAGTATGGTTTGTAGATAGTGATGACTGCAAATCAAACAGTAAAAGAGGAGAAAAAGAATATTTCTAATTCTCCAAATTCTGCAATCAGGTACATGAATCGCCCATGAAACTGTTCTCCAGAACTGGCTGGATAATTCTTAGAGTTGAAGTCCACAAGTCATAAAGTTGCCATGTTTGAAGACCTCTGGCCTAAATCTATGCAATCCCACATTTAGAGTTATTTTTCAGAGTATAAGACACACAGGAGTATAAGACACACCAAGATTTGAAAGAGGCAATTTTTAAAAAAAAAAGGGTTTGCACTCTGCAAACCTCCCCAAAATGGCCCATTTTTCATGAAAGTGGCCCCTTTTTTTTTCTTCCAAAAAAAAGAGCATTAATAGCCTTTAGGTGGCTTGTAGATTGCTCCTGGGTGGGGTGGGGGCAAAAACAAGCAAAAAACAGCCCTTTTTTCACGAAAATAGGCCCGTTTTTTTGTCANGATTGGGCCCTCCCAGAGGAAACAAAAGAGGAAGGAACAGGGAGTGGGCTTTTGCAGGAAACAATTTGTTCATTCAGTCCAGAAAATTCTGTTTGTGATTATAAGAGACTCTGTGCCAAGTTTTGCTTTGCCCTGTGTTTGGAAACTAGTTATCTGGCAGCACTCCAAACGAGATAAGGTGCATGTGGATAAACATTCCTCTGAAAGACAGTTTGCTAAAGCCTTGCTGATGGTGAATGAAAGTAATTCACAGTCATGTAAATAAAAGAGGTTTTATCGGGACCATTTAGCTTCTTGCTTCTTGCTTTCTAAGGAAGCCTGGGTCAGAACATCCTAGGAGAAACATGCTAGCAGGATGCAAGGGTAAATGCTGTCTTCTCAGTATATGAATTTCAGTTTGTTCCCTATCTCTGAGGTGATCATTCCCTTTTTCCTTACAAATTCAGCTTTCAAGACTTAAGTCCGTGACCCACACCCATATTGCATGAGGGCAAAATCCACTAGTTAACATATCTGGGCTCAATAAATCCTTAACCTGGAATAAGGAAACACAATGGCTGTGTTTAGGCCAGTGTGCCCAACCAGTATCCTCCTTTCACAATATGCTAAACTCATGGTGGAGCCAGTGATGCCACCACATTTTAATCTCATTTAGTCTGTTCTGTAGAGTAAGATAGAATATAGGTAGTCCGCAACTTACAATCATTCATTTAATGACTGAGCTTACAACAGCACTTAAAAAGTGACTTATGACCATTTTTCACATTTATGACCACTGCACCATCTCCATGGTCACGTGATCAGAATTCTGGCACTTAGCAACCAGCAGGTATTTATGACACTTGTACTATCCCAAGGTCATGTGGCCACCATTTGTAATCTTCCCAGCTGGTTTCCGACAAGTAAAATTAATAGGGGAAGCCAGATTTGCTTAACGGCTGCGTGACTCACTTAGCAATTTCATGATTCACTTAACAACTGCAGTGACTCGCTTAACAACTGTGGCAAAAAAGGTCATAAATAGGCACAAACCCACTTAACAATTGCCTTACTTAGTAATGGAAATTTTGGGATCAATTCTGGCCATATGTCAAGGATTACCTGTGTGTGAGTGACTGATTTTCTCTGAACCTTTGATATTTGATTTATGGGGCCTCAGATTTTAATCACCACAGAAAACTATTTATGCTTACACCCTAAAAGGAATAATTGTATTTGCTTCTATCACATCTTTTCTTACTTGATTTTTATTTTTAAACAAAATAGTCTGGAAGGCTTTCTTTAATCAGGCCTCCTGTTTCAGTTTTTCTTCTTGTACTATTTTCAAATAAACGGAAAAACAGTGTTCAGAGACAAGACTTGGAGCACCAGGCTTCATATATAAATAAGAGAAGAGAAGACGGGAAGGTTTCAGTAGCCACACTATTGTTGGATAAAGAGACTTTGGTCCCGTCTGGCAAGTTTCCTGGAATGCCCTTATGCTAAAGATTACATTTCAAAGAACGCAAACTTTTGAGCTAATGATTCCCGACATTCACATGTGAACACCATTCCCTGTTTATCTGAGGAAGATCATCTAACTCAGAGCTTTCAAACTTGGTTACATTAAGATGTGAGGACTCAGGAGAAATTGCTGTCCACCAGAACTCTCTCCTCAGTGGCAAATCCTCTGCTGTGCTGTCTCTGCTTGTGAACCATTCACAAAGACATTTAACTTCACCTGGAAGCCAAACAACATATAATGCATCATTGGTATATGACACTGGAGAAATAATCTAGAATGCAAAATGGCATTCAAATGCACTGTATGTTGTCATTGTGAATAACATGAAGAAGCATTTTATTGTGCTTGGTGGACATGTAAAAAAGCTTAAAAAAATATCAGTCTGGTATGTTTCCTTGACTGAAAATGGCTTGTGTATAAGATACACAAAGGAAAAGAATTAGCCCAGGATTGATTAAATTTTGTAAATATATTGATAGGACATTTTATTTTTCAAGCAATTACGTTTAATTATCAGTCATAGTTCGTTCAGGTCCAGTCTCCCTTACCCATTGTTTAAACTGTGGATCTTCTACATATAGGTGTCACATGGATAGATTTTAGGGAAGAATTAGGGATAATAATGGTTTTAACTGGAGATAGCAATTTAAGTTGACAAGGAGAAGAAGCTCATTGCACTGGACTTTCATTATACATTACTGGTAGTTCTCGACTTACGACCATTTGTTTAGTGACCATTTGAAATTTTAATGGCACTGAGAAAAGAAACTTATGACTGTTTTTCACACTTTTATGACCAATGCAGCATCCCTGTAGTCAGGTGATCAAAATTCAGACGCTTGGCAACTGGCACGTACTTAGGATGGCTGCAATTTCCTGGGTCATGTGATCACTTTTTGTGACTTTCTCACAGGCAAAGTCATTAGGGAAGTTCAGATTCACTGAACAATCGTATTATTAATTTAATAACTGCAGTGACTCACTTAACAATTGTGGCAAGAAAGGTCACAAAATGGGACAAAAATTCACTTAATAATTGTCTGGCTTAGCAATGGAAATTTTGGAACAATTAGTTGAGGACTATCTGTATCTTGTTTTTGTACCTTTAGGACTAACATGGCTACTTTCCTAAGAGTTCCCAGCAGGGGTGAAATGCTCTGAATTCTGCTATGCTTCGCGCCCGCATGAACGTGAAAAAAGGAGGATTAAGAAGCCTTTTCTGAGTCTGCAAAGGTAAGTAGAACAGCGGGGGGGGGAACAGCTGTACGGCGCAATTTAGATTCGCTAGGATTTTCTGCTTTCTAGCAAATATAAATCGTGTGCTGAAATCGGTAGCATTTTTTTACTACCAGTTTGGGTGAACCAGTAGCATTTTTTATAGCAGTTAGACTTATATAGCGCTTCATAGGGCTTTCAGCCCTCTCTAAGCGGTTTACAGAGTCAGCATATTGCCCCCAACAATCCGGGTCCTCATTTTACCCACCTC